TGTTGACCAGGATGGTCTTGATCTCTTGACCTCGTGATCCACCCATCTCGGCCTCCCAAAGTGCTGGGATTACAGGCTTGAGCCACCGCGCCCGGCGAAATTAGCATATTTTAAGAGGAAAACATGAAGGGACTGGAAAGATAGTCACTGTGTTGGGAGTTACCTTTTAAAGCTGTGACTCTGCATTCAGATATTTGTCCTGATTTTGTATTACTGTAGTATGAAAGATTTCTCACTACCCGCTACCACCCACATCAGTAAAAAGAGAACTTCTGGAGACCTAGCTGCCCTGTTCTTGCATCTCATCTGTGAATGGAGATTTCAGCATCTACTGTTAGCTTTAAGCAGCGTTGACAGAAAAATGATGGCTTGCCACATAATTCTTGTCATAATTGAGTGTTCTCTTTCCCTTCCATGCCTTGTATCTTCTTCTTTCTCACTAGGTTTTACTCCCTGGGATTCTTCAGGCTTTGTGGTACAATTATAATAATGTTTTATATTTGTATAAGATTTTTCAGCTTTTAAAAGATGGTTTTATATTTTTTATTCGAGCATCAGTAACTGTCAGGACAGGTATTATCTCTAATGTTTACAAATAATGAAATTAATGCCCTTATAGTGACAGAAGTGGAATTGCAACAAGGTGTTCTAATACTTAATCTAGTATTTATTCTCCTATCTTGTGCTACTTTCCTTTAGGTATTTGTGAACACAGTAGTAGCAAGGATTTGTCAAATATGGTATGTTATAAGAGTCAGTCAGTGGTTTACAAATTCTAATATCTTCTTTTTTTCAAACACCCTATTTAATAGCTGTGTGTTCCACAGACTGATTATCTAAAAACTTCCCTCTGGAAGTTTTGTATGTGATAGTTTAGATTAATTATGTTTTTTTACCCCTAAATTTTCTTTGCCTTCACTGAAAATGAATTTGATTTTTCCTTTTTAGCACCATCACTCCTGTAGTGGGTAAGAAGAGAAAACGTAATACCTCATCTGATAATTCAGATGTGGAAGTCATGCCTGCACAATCACCTCGGGAAGATGAAGAAAGCAGCATTCAGGTAAAAGGATCCCAAAAGAATTTAGTAGAAGAAAATCATGTTTAATTATGGCTAACCAAGCCAAGAAGATACTGAGAGACTATAAGTCTATACACATTTCTTCGGTGTTTCTAAACTGGACGTAAGCCTAAAAGGTGAATGCACCTGGTTAATGTCTTTTTTTTTTTTTTTTTTTCCTTTTTTCTTGAGACAGAGTCTCACTCTGTCGCCTGGTCTGGAGTGCAGTAGCATGATCTCAGCTTACTGCAACCTCTGCCTCCCAGTTTAAAATGATTCTCCTGTCTTAAGCCTCCTGAGTGCTGGGATTATAGGCATGCACCACCACACCCAGCTAATTTTTGTATTTTTTTAATAGAGGCCAAGTTTCACCATGTTGACCAAGCTAGTCTCAAACTGCTGACCTCAAGACCTCAAGTGATCCACCTATCTCGGTCTCCCACTGGTCAATGTCTTTAAAGTTTTTGTCTTTTTAGGCAAAGAGCATATTACTATAAAAATAGTGATATTTAGCTGGGTGTGGTGGCTCACGCCTATAATTCCAGCACTTTGGGAGGCTGAGATCGGTGGTTCATCTGAGGTCGGGAGATTGAGACCAGCTTGGCCAATGTGGTGAAACCCCGTCTCTGCTAAACATACAAAAATTAACTGGGCATGGTAGTGCACGCCTGTAATCCCAGCTACTTGGGAAGCTGAGGCAGGAGAATCTATTGAACCCAGGAGGCAGAGGTTGCAGTGAGCTGAGATCATACCATTGCACTCCAGCCTGGGCAATAGAGTGAGACTCCATGTCAAAAAAAAAAAAAAAGCAATACTCATTTTCTCAAATTCCAGTGTTTCAAATACTAAACAAATCATATGAAATCATGCTACATGATTGCTTTTCTGGCTGTGTCAGAACTTGGCTCTCTCTTAGAACTCCAAGAATCCATTTTGCCTTACCATGTCCACACTTCAGGATTCTGACCTTGTGAACTAGAGTAGTTAGGCACAAAGTTTCTCCTGCATTTTGAAGATGAGGGACGTTGGAAGAGACCAAAAGAAGACAGACCAGACTGTAGTCTTCCATCTCTGGTTTGTTGCCTTATGGTATCATCTTTGACTCTAATTTCTAACTGTAGAGAAAACCTGATTCAGGAGACCCATAGTGCTTCTAAGTAGCTCCGTGGTCTGGCCAACTTACTTAACTTACTTGAGTCTCAATTTCTCATCTGTAAGTGGAGGTTTGGACTAAATGAACCTAAGTGTTTCTCTATTAATAATTATAAGTGCCTCCCCTCTTTCATAATGTACATTCAGTACATTGACAAACTGTTACTTGGGTTGTTCTGGGGGAAATTACTATATGAGAATAGCCACGAAAGTTTTATAAAGGAAAATGAGACCAAAAAAATTTTTTAGAATATATTATGTAATAATGATTACTAAGACTTTGAAATTGGAGAAGAAAAAACAGATTAATAAAACACAGTAGAGATTAGAAATCAACTCAAATAGTTGTGGAAATTTACTATATATAATTAAAACACCATTTTGAATCAACAGGGAAAAAAATTATTCAATAAATTTGGACAACTGGCTAACCATTTAGGAAAGCTGGATTTTTTGCTTTCTGAAAAATAAATTCCAACTGAATTAAAGCTGTAAATATAAAAGATGAAATTTATGAACTTTCTAGAGGCATGAATACATTTTAAAGTAATTATCAAGTAATCTTTGTAAAGAGGATATTAAAAATCAGAAGTCATAAAGGAAGATATTGGTATGCTTGACAATATAAAAATTATATATGGTATAACAACAAATAAATTCCATGAACAATGTAGTAGTTGAGAGCACAGACTCTGGAAACAGATTTCTTAGGTTCTTTTCTTAACTCTACCATTTACTAGCACTGTCACTCTGAATGAGTTACTTAGCCTCTTGGTGCCTTAATTTCCTCACCTCTAAAATGTAGGTCAATAGTACTTACCAAATAGGGTTGTTACAAGGATTACATGTACACATTTATAAAGCACATGTAACAGTGTTTGGCTCATACTAAGAACACATATTAGGACTTACATGCATATGCTGTTGATTAAATGCGCCCTCCAAATTCATGAGTTAGCCAGGCATGCTGGCTTATACCTGTAATCCCAGCACTCTGGGAGGCTGAGGCAGGAGGATTCCTTGAGCCCAGGAAGTTGAGGCTGCAGTGAGCTGTGATCATGCACTACAATCCAGCCTGGGCAGCAGAATGAGACACTATCTCCCCACCCCGCCCCCAAAAAAACCCCACAAAGTTCATGGATTGGAAGCTAAATCCCCAGTGCAACAGTGTTGAGACGGGGGACCCTTAAGAGACAATTATGTCATGAAGTCATTACCGTTATGAATGGATTAATGTCATTGAGAAAGTGTGTTTGTTATAAAATCGTGTTGGGCCCTCTCTTGCTTTCTCTTGCTTGTGCTCTCACCTCTCACCTTCCTGCTGTGGGGTGATGCAACAGACGGTCCTCGCCAAATGTGGGCAGCTTCATATTGGACTTACCAGCCTTCAGAAATGTAAGAAATACATTTCTTTTTCTTTCTTTTTTTAATTTTTTGAGATGGAGTCTTGCTCTCTTGCCCTATCTGGAGTACAATGGCCCGATCTCAGCTCACTGCAACCTCTGCCTTCCCATTCACGTGATTCTCCTGCCTCAGTCTCCTGAGTAACTGGGATTACAGATGGCCCCACCACGCCTGGCTAATTTTTACATTTTTAGTAGAGACGGAGTTTCGCCTGGCTGGTCTTGAACTCCTGACCTCAGGAGTTGGGAGGCCTACCTCGGCCTCCCAAAATGCGTGAGCCACTGTGGCTGGCCTTCTTTTTCTTTTCTTTTTTTTTTTTTTTTTTTTTTTTTTCCTGAGACAGAGTCTTGCTGTTTCCCAGGTTGGGGTGCAGTGGTGCAATCTTGGCTCACTGAAATATCTGCCTCCCAGGTTCAAGTGATTGTCCCACCTCAGCCTCCTGAGTACCTGGGATTACAGGTATGCGCCACCACTCCCAGCTAATTTTTGTATTTTTTAGTAGAGACAGGGTTTCACCATGTTGGTTAGATGGTTGAACCCCTGGCCTCAAGCGGTCTACCCACCTCAGCCTTCCAAAGTGCTGGGATTATAGGCAGGAGCCACTATTCCTCACTACGTTTCTTTTTTTCGGACTTGGGGGGCAGAATGGAGTTTCACTCTTGTTGCCCAGGCTGGAGTGCAATGGCGCATTCTGGGCTCACTGCAACCTCTGCCTCCCAGGTTCAAGCGATTCTCCTGCCTCAGCCTCCCGAGTAGCTGGGATTAAAGGCATGCACCACCACGCCCAGCTAATTTTTTGTATTTTTAGTAGAGATGGGGTTTCTCTGTGTTGGTCAGGCTGGTCTCAAACTCCTGGTCTCAAACTCTTGACCTCAGGTGATCTACCTGCCTCAGCCTCCCAAAGTGCTAGGATTACAGGTGTGAGCCACCGTGCCCGGCCCATTTCTTTACTTATCAAAATAAATTACCCAGTCTCTAGTGTTCTGTTACAGCAATACAAAATGGACATGTTTTGTTGCAACAACATGTTTTTTAACTAAAGGTTAAATAAGGGTTAAAGGGTTATACAAATAAAGTATTTGTTAAGCAAAAACATGAAGGAAAATTTTCATAATACAAAACACAGAGATTAGTAAAATTTAGAAAGTGGTCTGTTAGTTTGCTAAGACCAGCATAACACAATACCCCAGACTAGGTGGCTTAAGCTATGGACATTTATTTTCTTTCTTTTCTTTTCTTTTTTCTTTTTTTTTTTTTTTTTTTTTGAGACAGAGTTTTGCTGTGTTACCCAGGCTGGAGTGCAGTGGTGTGATCTTGGCTCTCTGCAACCTCTGCCTCCTGGGTTCAAGAGATTCTCCTACCTCAGCCTCCTGAGTGTTTGGGATTACAGGCATGTGCCATCACACCTAGCTAATTTTTCTATTTTTAATAGAGTCAGAGTTTCACCATGTTGGCCAGGCTGATCTTGACCTCCTGATGTCAGGTGATTTACCTGCCTTGTCCTCCCAAAGTGCTGGGATTACAGGTGTGAGCCACTGCACCCGGCCTGGACATTTATTTCCTTACAGTTCTGGAGGCCAGAAGTCCAAGATGAAATGGTCTGCAAGTTTTCTCCTGAGTATTTTCTTGGCTTGCAGAAGGCCACCTTCTCATTGTGTCCTCATGTGGTCTTTCCCCTGTTGGTACACATCACTGGTGTCTTTTTGTGTGTCCAAATTTATTCTTCTGTAAGATTGGATTAGGGCTCACCCTGGTGGCCTCATTTTAGCTTATTGACTGTTTGAAAGCCCTATTTCCAATTTCCAAATACATTCACATTCTGAGGTATTGGGGGTTGGGGGTTTAACATATGAATTTGTTGGGGGGGGAATACAATTCAGCCTGTGACAAGTGAGGATGACAATATTGGCAATGAAGTTAAGGAACAGACACTTTCACACGGTTGATGGGAGTGTTGATTGGGACAATCTTTTTGGCAAGTCAGTGTTTGAACATATAGCAGAATTTAGAATGTTAATTTTATTTCACTCAGTGATCCTCCACCTAGGAAATTACCTTATGAATATGTTCTCAAAAGAATACAGTGATGGTGATGAGCTGGATGCAGCGGCTCATGCCTGTAATCTCAGCATTTTGGGAGGCTGAGTCAGGCAGATCACAAGGTCAAGAGATTGAGACCATCCTGGCCAACATGGTGAAACCCATCTCTACCAAAAATTAGCTGGGCATGGTGGCGCACTTCTGTAGTTCTAGGTACTTGGGAGGCTGAGGCAGGAGAATCACTTGAACCCAGGAAGTGGAGGTTGCAGTGAGCCAAGATCGTGTGCGATTGCACTCCAGCCTGACAACAGAGAGAGGCTCTGGCTAAAAAAAAAAAAAAAAAAAGAATGCAGTGATATATATATAGCAATATTTGCAATAGCAAAAATGTCCAAAAATTAGGTGTCCATTGGTGGAGAAATAGTTAAGTTAAATTGGCAATACTCATGCAGTAGAATACTAG